ACATGGCATTGTTTTAGTACTGACCTGAATGCTTAAGGTTGCCAAAATGTCTAAACATCTGCATTCATATTGTTGACCCCTGATGATGGCCAATTAATCAAATATGTGTGGTAAGCAGCAGCTATCAAATCAAATGTATTACTGTATTGCTGCTCGTCCTCGTTTGCATTTACATAATTTTAAGACCAACTGAATACAAGAGAATATTTGTCCATGTGATGTACGGTTCAGAGGACCCAAAAACACCCGGACGCAGACGGTCAGTTCGAACAGGTTTATTATACGGGGCAAAACCTGGGGGGGTGGTCAGACAGGCGAGGTCGGTAACGGGAGATCAGTCCAGCAGTAATCCGAGGGGGTAATCCAAAACGGGGTCCAGGAACGAGCAGGGGTCGAGGCCGGGGAAGCAGTCCAGGGGGATCAGGCGGGAGCGCGGAGTCAGGCAGGCTGGGTCGGGGACACGGGCAGGCAGGCAGGCACTGAGTCAGACCAGGCAAACCTCAGGCGAAGCAGGATAATCAGACGAGGGGCAGGCAGGCTCGGAAACGGGGTCGAACAGGACGTAACAGGCAGGCAGGCAGGAACAACGCTGGAAGACTCGTACATTAGGTTAGAGACGTTCTGGCCCAGGTGAGTGAGTGAGTGGGGCTTATGAACTGCCCATGACAGGTGCGACCAATGTCGCTGATTACCGGCAGAATGAGCCGGTGGGCGGAGCCAGAACGTCACAGTCCAGTCAAATATTAGAGCAAAAACAGGTGTACTTTCCCTTTTACATGGCTGTAAATAAAAACAAATTAGCCTGCAAGATTATTTCAAAGTCTGATATTGCAACTTAACTTAACAGCAGGAGTTTAATGATGTTTAAATGTATTAATGGAATTCAATTGCAAAAGTCACTGTCAAATGTTATGGGAGTTAACTTTTAAGGTGACAGTTATATATAATAGTAATTTCACATTCACCACACTGCAAAAGAAAGATGCTTTTCTTTTGCATGCATGACGCATGCATTTACATGCATCACAGCTACAGCTGCCAGCCTTCATGCAGCTTTACAATCCAATAGCCATCAGCACTGATGCTTTTTAAAATTGATTATTTATTGATGCATCCACTTTTACAAATTCCATCCATCCATCCATTTTCCTCCGCTTATCCAGGGTCGGGTCGCGGGGGCAGCAGCCGAAGCAGGGAAACCCAGACTTCCCTCTCCCCTGCCAGCTCCTCCGGGGGGATCGCGAGGTGATCCCAGGCCAGCCGGGACACATAGTCCTCCCTGGGGAGGTGACCAGGAGGCATCCTGATCAGATGCCCGAGCCACCTCAACTGGCTCCTCTCCACGTGGAGGAGCAGCGGCTCTACTCTGAGCCCCTCCCGGATGGCCGAGCTTCTCACCCTATCTCTAAAGGAGAGCCCAGGAAACTCATTTCGGCCACTTGTATCCGGGATCTCATTCTTTCGGTCACTATCCAAAGTTTGTGACCATAGACGAGGGTGGGAATGTAGATCGACCAATAAATTGTAAGCTTCTCAGCTCTCTCTTCATCACGACAGACCGGTACAGCGCCCGCATTACTGCAGACGCCGCACCGATCCGCCTATCGATCTCACGCTCCCTACCCCCATTCGCGAACAAGACCCCGAGATCCTTGAACTCCACCACTTGGGGAAGGGCGTCCGCTCTGACCCGGAGAAGGCACTCTACCCTTTTCCGGTGAGAGACCATGGTCTTGGACTTGGAGGCACTGATCCTCATCCCAGCCGCTTCGCACTCGGCTGCGAACTGCTCCAGCGAGAGCTGTAGGTCACGACTTGATGAAGCCAACAGGACCACATCATCTGCAAAAAGCAGAGATGCGATCCTAAGGCCACCAAGACTGACACCCTCAACACCTCGACTGCGCCTAGAAATCCTGTCCATAAAAGTTATGAACAGGACCGGAGACATAGGGCAACCTTGGCGGAGCCCAACTCCCACTGGAAACGAATCCGACTTACTACCGGCAATGCGAACCAGACTTTGACTCTGGTCGTACAGGGACCGAACAGCCGTAACAAAGGGCCAGGTACCCCATACTCCTGGAGCACCCCCCACAGGACACCCGAGGGACACGGTCGAACGCCTTCTCCAAGTCCACAAAACACATGTGGACTGGTTAAGCGAACTCCCATGCACCCTCCAGAACCCCGCTGAGGGTATAGAGCTGGACCAGCATTCCACGTCCAGGACGAAAACCACACTGTTTCTCCTCAATCCGAGACTCGACTATCCGATGGACCCTCCTCTCCAGAACGGCTTAATAGACCTTCCCAGTGAGGCTTAAAGAGTGTGATCCCCCTGTAGTTGGAACACACCCTTTGGTCCCCCTTTTTAAATAGGGGGACCACCACCCCAGTCTGCAAATCCAGCGGAACTGCCCCTGATGTCCACCCGATGTTGCAGAGTCGCGTTAGCAAACGCAGCCCCACAACATCCGAAGCCTTGAGGAACTCCAGCTGAATCTCATCCACCCCCGGAGCCTTGCCACCGAGGAGGTTTTTGACTACCTCGGTGACTTCAGCCCCAGAGATTAGAGATCCCAACTCCGGATCCCCAGGCTCTGCCCCTCCAACGGAGGACAATGAGCAATGAGCAATGAGTATGCCCACTCCCGCTCGGCGCCTCTCACCTGGGGCAACTCCAGAGTAGCAGAGCGTCCAACCCCTCTGAAGAAGGGTGGTTCCAGAGCCAGAGCTGTGTGTCCAGGCGAGACCGATTATGTCCAGCCGGAATCTCTCCGCCTCGCACACGAACTCAGGCTCCTTCCCCACCAGAGAGGTGACATTCCACGTCCCTAGAGCCAGCTTCTGCAGCCGGGGATCGGTCCGCCAAGGTCCTCGACTCCGGCCGCTACCCGAAACACAGCGCACCTGACCCCTTTGGCCCGTCCCATGGGTGGTGAGCCCATAGGACGGGGGACCCATGTTGCCTTTTCGGGCTGAGCCCGGCCAGGCCCCATGGGTTAAGGCCCGGCCACCAGGCGCTCGCCATCGTGCCCCGCCCCTGGAGCCCCGATGGCCCCAACCGAGCAAGGGAACTCTGTTTCCATTGATGGTGCTCATCATAAGGTGTCTTTTGGGCTGCGCTTCGTCTGATCCCTCACCTAGGACTTGTTTGCCTTGGGTGACCCTACCAGGGGTTTGAAGCCCCGGACAACATAGCTCCTAGGATTATTGGGACACTCAAACCCCTCCACCACGATAAGGTGGCAGCCCAGATTAAAAGGTAATAAATACTAAATGTCTTGTGATAAAAACTGAGTATTGTCAGTATGATACATGCATCACAGTTGACTGGAAATGCTAGAGAAAGAACGTCTACATGGAACAAAAAATATTATCTATTAATCCTCTAAAGGCCAAAACATGAAATGCTAGCCCTTATAAATTTTGTCTTCTTAAATTCTCATTAAACCACTTCTGAGTAATTGTTGATAATTGTAGTTTATTTTTTTCCCGCTGTGAAAAAAGTATTCTAATATATATAGGGGAATCATTAAAAGTTCCATGTTCAGTTTAAAAAATATATGTGCTAAGCTGGCTATTGTAGATGGCCAGTAAAATATTAGCATGAACACCTACAGCTGTGGTCCACAGAGAAAATAATAAACAGTTGTTTCCTAATAATTTTTTACTATAACTGTCAATGTCCATTAGCATCGAGTACATCCATCCATCCATTACCATTACCGCTTATTGCCTTATGGGGTCGCAGGGAGAACTGGAGCTTATCTGACCTGCTCTGTTTGGAAAGAGCTGTGAGACAACTGTTGTTGTGATGTGGCGCTATATAAATAAAATTGAATTGAATTGAATCTAGTCCATCACAGGGCAGAAGAGGCCAGAGAACCTGTAGAGAACCCACACAGACACAGGGACAACATGCAAACTCCACACAGAAGTCCCCTGGGACTTGAACCCTGTACCTTCTTGCTGTGAGGCAACGGTGCTAACCACCTTCATTGAGTGCAGTTTAATTCAAATTAGTGAGTGAAATATATCATCTGCTTTCTGCCCCCATCAAAGTATATATCCTCTATGGTATATCCATCTATTTGTACTTATTCCAAGTCACTGCTGTTGGGGGTCTGGAGCCCACCCAAGCAACCATTGGGCGAGAGTTGGGGGCCACCCTGGACAAGTCTAGAGTGCATCACAGGGCCCTTTATAAAGTGAATATCAAAAACTGTGTGAACAGCCAAATATTTCTTTAGAAAAAGATGCATATTTTTAAAGTAATTTTGAAAAGTGCAAGATATACCTCTGGAGATCACAAGAGGTATTGTACTTCTTCAATGGCTTAATTGATTAGGATTAGTGGCGACAAAGGCTACATGGTGGTGTGGCGGATAGTACACTAGGTCACCAACACATTTCCAGAATTGGAGACTTGAAATTACCAAATTACTTAGTTGTGGTGGCATCCAAAAGCCATTAGATCCCTTGGAAAGTGAACAACCTTTTTTTCTTTCAGAATGACTTTAAATCGTAAAGACACAAAAACATATTAGGTTGATGCACAGTTGCCTATAGAGGGACAATTATCATGTTGGAAATAGGCAGGAGAATCTGGCAACTTTACATATATTCAAAAATTGTCTCATTTGTTTTGTCACTTGACATTTTGCCTGTTTTACCTTTTTTTTTTCTTCTTGCAAAATATTTGTGTTTGATAGACAGGGATAATCAGTCTGACGATCCAGAAGAGGCCAAATAAAAGGGGAAAAAATGAGGAGAGGAACAGAGGAGAGTGAAATAAGAGAATAAAAAAGTAAATGAAGTGAAAGTCATAATTCTGTTGATAAGTGTTGTGTGGAGAACAGGGTCACCTAAAAGGAAAAAGTGTAAAGAAAACAAACTTCACTTTTCCAAAGCTTTGAAACAGAGCAAATCCATCATATATAGAATTTTGGATTCTACTTATTGCTGTGTTTATTCAAAAATACCTCTAATAGCAGAATACCTCCGACCTGTCAGTGTCCATGGCTTCATCCCCAGAGGGCACCGGATCCATCACCTCATTGCTGGTGGAAAATTCATCATCCAACAGCACTGGATCGGAGTCAGGGTCAGGCGCAGGCACAGGATTGGGTTCAGAGTCTAATGTGGACACCAGATTGGGCTTCAGTTTAGAGACATGACACAAAAGCAAAAGGAAAGAGCTGAACAGTTACTGAATAAACAGAGATGTGGTACTTTTCAGTTTATGTCTGGAAACAATACCAAGGACAATTGTCAAATCAAGTTTTTCTCTATTCCAGTAAATAACCCATCTTCTTTCCAGCTCTCAGTGTACATAATCTGTGAGGAAACACCACCCCATCAAAGTACTACTTATTGTTTAAAGACATTTTGATTGCGTCTATAATTTTTTAAAAATCACTCAGCAAGAATCTCATGTCCTTCTCTTGGAAGTACAAATTTGCTCCGAGTGAATATATTTGACTGCAAACTCAGGCCAGATAATGTTAAATTACTTGGGAGCGAGGCAACCAGTTTGGTGAATAGCTGCCATTTTTCTCAAGAATTTCAATCCTGGGAAAAGACAGATTTAGTGACATAAGAAGAATAGGCCAAACAGAATTTGTCAGGAAACTGAAGAGACGCTCAGGTGTTAGAGGCTCAGTAAATGGCATGCAGCTGTATCTGCTACCACATTCCAGGGCGATGAAGTTTTTTGAAGAGATGAAAGTCGTCATTTTTGGTAATACTGCACATGTGGTTGTATTTGTAGTGAGATTGCACATGCACATTGTAAGAATCTGGATTAATCTGTATTACAATTCTGAACCCGAAAAATCTTCCGTTGTGTTGAATTAGAGAGCAAACATCACAGTCAAGATCTGTAAGAACTGCTTTGTTGTTTGGGCTTGGGTGTGGAATACACAGATTAACCTTTGTATATGTACTGCATCCTTTGCATCATGCTTCTTCTTATATTCTATCTGTTTGTGTGTGTGCTGGCGTTTTTCCTCCCAATTATTTAAGATCAGCAGACCTATGTCACAGCATGATAGATCCACCAACATATGTGGGAACACGTATGTGTGCGTGTGTTTCGTCTGATAGTTCAGCTGAATAACTGCAAGAGTAATTGTGTTTTCCACCTTCTTTCTTTATTTCTCTCTCTAGCCTCTCACAGTTCCTCTTTCAGCACCACAAATTACCACTTTCGCCAGTTCCGTTTTTCTCTCTCTCCACACAACAGGTGGTGAAATTGTAAGGCATCGCTTTTCTGTGAGCCTCAGCTTTTGACCAGACACACACATTCCTGCATTTTGCTTCCATGGTTGGCCTGAGAGGGTTTTATAACCCCTCACATCAGAGTTCCAACCTCTGTCTCCCTTACCTCTTTTCCTGTCAAGCTGTGGGTGTCAACCACTTTGTGAATGCACTGTCTTCCTAATCGGGTTGATTGGTACCTTGTCCCCAATCGTGCATGCTCTGCACGCCATCGTGAAGAAACGCATCGGGGAGCCAATGATTCAGGTCGATGTCAGTTTGAAGCCAAGAAGAATGGCTTTTTCACTCTGATGATATGTATGTGTGTGTGTGTGTGTGCCCTCAGTGTGTAGTTATGTGTGTACATGTGTGACACATATGATTAAACAGGAGCTGTAGTTACTCTAGAGCTTGGCTGTGTGAATGTTTTATGGTGATGGTGTGTGTGCTTGGACAGAGCCAAGAAAGTCCGAAAAAACAGGAAATGACGTCTTGGTCCACGTGAAACTATTGCGGTTTGTGGATTATTCATCTTTTGGGACTTTTGCCATCATAGAATGTATTTCTCAAGAGCTGGGGTGTGGTTCAGGTGAATCAATGAGATAAAAATAGGTCAAGCTAGAATTCACAGATTCACACCACAGCCAGAGGATTCCTGGTTTGAATTCCAGTTATGAGGAGTTTGCATGTTTTAAACTGTGAGGGTGAGTTATGGAACTAGGAATAGACATAGACATGGCATAGACAATGGATGGATGATAAGTTAACTGACAATTCAGAGCAGACTGGATTGCGTGTACATACCTCTTTTCCCTCCCAACAAAAAATTGGATAGCTTCATTTCAATCCTGAGTATGAATAATTGGGCACAGGAAACGGTTCATTTTAAGGAGAGATTTTTGTCATTCATTTGTACCCATAGCCCTGTGATGGACTGGCAAGCCACTGGGGGCCTTTCTGCGTGAAGTTCCATGTTCTAACTGTACATGTGTGGGTTTTGTCCAGGTACTCCTTCCCACTTCAAAAACAGACACGAAAGGTGAATTGATTATTTTAAACTGCCTGAGAATTGAGTGTCTGTGGTTGTTCATCTCTGTGTGGCCCTGTGATGGACTCTTGAGTAATGTTGTGGCTGTAATAGATAGATAGATAGATAGATAGATAGATAGATAGATAGATAGATAGATAGATAGATAGATA